AACCAAACAGCATGTCGGATTTTAACTAGTTTAGTCAAATAAATAAGGAAAAACAAAATACAGGATACAAAAGTCTTTTGAAGTGAGAACAAGATGCAGAATAGAGCGCTCACCACCCAAAGAAGAGTACGTGGCTTTCGAGTTGTTATATTGTCAGTAACCAACTTAAATCCCTGATGAGCATCAACTATCTCAACAATGGTCATTGCACCAAGCAAGAAAAACACTATTTCACTAACTTCTGCAGATGCATGTGTCAGCTCTGAAATAGTTGTATCAGTTGAAGGAGCCTGCAAACAACCCAGGAAACTATAGATATGAACTGAATCATAAACGTATACGTATCACTTGAGCAGAAAAGAGACATGAAGGATGTCAATGAAGGAAGAGAACAAATGAGAAAGACATAACCAAATGCAAGTTAGGCAACGAAAATCTGTCATTTATTGATCAATTGGTGAACTGTCATCGTGCCAATGACAAGGAGATTTCATACAGGCATATGGGACTAGAGGCATCAAGTGCACCTTGAAAGTGATCTAAATCTCAAATGCCAGATAATGCATGTGGGCAGCTCTTGATTAATCAAAAATTACTGATTTTTCATCATTAAATAGAATATTACCCCAATACTCCTTATCACCCATAAGCTTACAGCCATCAATAATCCTACTCCACTTTTATTGAAGGCTAGAGATTCTTCAAATATGATTCCTGCATATCCTATTCCAAATAGCAATGCCATAGCAAGATCCTGTATTTCAAGATCACGTAAATCTAAAAGAAGTAGGAATATAACATAATCAGAAAAATTCAAACGGATGCGCTATGAAACATACAGATAATGAGATCCATAGACCTGACCTGATTAGCAGCTACCCAAGAATGGTTAATTGCCAATGCTCCAACTGCAGCTGCTGCAAATATGGCAAGAGCTTTCAGATAATCAGTCCTGGGCTGGTAAGTTTCTTCAAAATCTAGTGAGCTGGTTTCGTCAACTGAACAAAGGGGATCACATGTTCCAGATTCTGATATCAAGTCCTGAATACGACCTCAAAGTGAAGTGTGAACATTAGTGTCTAAGAAATAGATGCTGGAATTTCAAACGCTACTCGCACAAAATTTACGAACTTACTGAAGCAATTGGTTAAACCACACTGATCTTACCAGTGTCCCCACACCCCAAAATATTCCGAACTTCCAGTATTGGAAAAAAAAAAGATTAGATTTTGTCGTTTATCATGTTCAAAAAATGCAATTAAGTTCTTTCGTCTTAGTTCTATCCATGTGGTAACCCCAAAAAAAAAAAAAAAGATGTTTTGATTAACTTGTTAATCGATAAGCTATGTAACTCTATTGGATTAAAAGTAATCAGGTGAACCGTGTTTTTGTCACATGATCTCATAATCAATTGTAACCTAACGAGCACTGAATCCCACTCATGAATGCGGTTCAACTGTACTATCATCATTTTTCGTTACCATCAGGAAGTAAGATCAAAGAACTCAATTACATTACTTCTGAATGTTTAAAGAAAACATTGAATCAATAAAAATTAAATCAGAGTGACGAAAATTGTACTCAAGTCCCTTAAAGAGAGAGAGAAAAAAAAGGAAGAGACAATAAGTCAATCCATTGCAGTGGTGAAGTAAGCTTCTTTTAATTAAACAGAAGTTTGAATTTCAATCCATTTTCCAGTACCAATGTAAATTTGAGATCTTTCATCTCCTAAACTACCAAAATCGCGGAAGGATTTATGGATAATAGAAACCTGAAACTGTTTCTCGGGACGTTGTTCAACTTGCTGCTCTTGAGACGACGTATAACCTCTAGCCTTGTCTTCTGCGCGTGCCAATACATGATTACCAGGCAGCTTGAGACCCGTTATTCCACAACGGGGAGGGCCAAAGAAGGAAGAAGATGATAATGATAGTGTAGATTGGAGGGTGCGAGGGCCATGAAATGGAGAGTGAACCGCTTGGCTCAGCCAATGTTGGGGCGAAGGCAAACTAGTCCCAACAGGAAAGGTAGCCATTTCCTGTCAATTACGAGCAAATGGCGAAGCACAACGAAGACGATGGAGAACCGGGTAACTGAGTAATTCCGTAGAACTAGCAACGACCTCACCAAAATAATTATGGGTTTATCTCATATTGTCATGAACCAAAAGGCTACAAAAATAATAAAACCAGTTTAGTTTTTATATTTTTAATTTGTCCATTCAGAAAAGAATGTTCTTAATCTAAGTTCTGCAGTAATGTCACACTATCATTCTATTCTATTTTTAATCTAAGTCCAAAAATATCGTTCTCTTTGGATTTGCCTCTTGAACTCTATTTTTTATTTTGGACGTGGAGCTCTATCTGCCTTGGATTATATATTGCTGACGACCGTCAATTCGGGAAGATACATTTTTACTTTCTTTGGACATTAACTTTTGTTTTTGAACAAAAGTTTTTTTTTTTAATATAAGTAATATTTTAATATCTTGAAAATAGTTTCCAAAGTTAAAATAATATCTGTAGTACATCTAACGAGAATAAAGTCAATAAATAATTTATCAAAATTGAAACGAAGAGCATTAAAATATAATTTTAGAATTGAGAGAACTAGAAATAGAATTAGTTAAAATACTTTCTTATAATAAATATAAAAATGTTTGACAAAAAAAACTATTACAAAATAATCTATGTATCTATATATACTCCTATTTTATAAGTTACATTAACTTTTTCATTAGGAAAAAGAAAGATCGATAAGCTATTAATTTAATTTTTATCTAAAAATAAAATAAATTTTATTTTTATTTAAATAAAAATTAAAATTGTATTATAGTTTTGGATTAAGGATTAAGTGCTCATAAATTTAACTATAAATTAATTTTATCTTTTAACTTTTAAAATTTGAATCTCTATGCCCCTGAGATTAAATCCCTCTCTTCCATTGTTAATGGGTCTTAGTATTTTTTAATATTTTTTAACCTATCTTTCTCTCTCTTCCTCCATGTCGCTCTCTCTCTCTCTGCCACTCACTCCTCTCTCTCCCTGTTGGAATAAGAGGATTGGAATTTCAATGGATAAACAACGTCGCTCATCTCTAGACATGCTATAGTGGCCTTTGTCACGGATGATAGTATTCTTAAATAGAACTTTTATAGCGTTAGCCTTTAATGATTTAGATTCAGCCACACTATGAACTTCATCCAACATACTCGTGCTCTCACTGTCATCCTCGACCAAGCTAAACCCAAGCGTGTGTTTGTCAATTGTGCCCCAAGCAAGTAGGTTCTCAATGCATGAGGTGTCCTTGTATCAAGAGGCTTGACTCATGGGTTTTTGGGCATGAGAGAGAGAGAGAGAAGTTAGAAGATCATAGAGAAGAAGAATTCAAAGGAGATGAGCTCAGTCAAAGGGAATGGGACATGGGCAAAGGGAATGAGATTGCCATGAAAGTTTTGGAAAGGGCATGTCTATGGGGGCCATAAACGAAGAAAAAGGAGGAGGGGGGAGAGGAGCTGAAGGAGGTGTGGCTAAAGGAGGAGAGAGCATATCCTTTAGTGCAATGTTTTGAAACTTAGATCGGATATCAAACCGGAAAGAGCAACGGGTCGTGGTTTTCACGGTTTAACCGGTTAAACCAGTGGTCTAACGGTGACATAAAAATTAAATAAAAAATAAAATTTATATGTGCAATTATATAAATAAAATATTAATTTGCTAATGGTGCTTGGGATCTCAACCCCAAAAGCTAGATACTTGGATCATTGGAGCTAGACATAGAGACATGTCAGTACAAGCTTGTGATCTTAAAGGAAAATGTTGGAGCTAGAGGTATATTGTCATGTCATGACTCACAAGCTTTTTCAAAAATGCTAAAGGTTAGATCTTTAGAGTTGGAGGCAGATGTTGGAGGAGAAGTTAGAAATTGAGTTTGGGCCATGAAGGAGAGATTAGATATTAGAGAAGAAAAGAAAAGATAGCATTGGTGATTAGAGAAGAGAAATTGTGAATTTAAATAATTTAGCCTAAATTTTTTTTATAATTTTTTTTGGCTCTGGACCGGGTTGACCCGGGTTGACCCAAGTCTAATTCATGGGTCAAAGCCAGTTCTCTCAAAATCAGCCGGTTCAACCCGGGTCAAATGCCAAATTGGTTCAATTGGTTAAACCGAATCGTTTTCTTCAACGGTTGGCGGTCGGACCGTTCGATCCGGTCCGGTTTTGATAACATTATTTTAGTGTTCATGAGCACAAGCAAAGTCAGGGACTCTCACCATTATCTTGCACAATAAAATCATAACATACGTGTCCAGTATCTTGTCAATGTATGCTGTCAATGTCACCAGGATTAGAAGTCCCATGCTAAAGTCAAGCGAAACTCATGACCTTCCAACCAAGTTGCTTGCTTTAGAACCAGAGTAAGAAAGTTTTGAGGACAATAAGTATGGCACTATGTCGAGGATGTTGGTACCAACATTCTCTTTGGTGAAATGAAGGAGAGAGAGGAGAGTGGGGATCAAGGGAAGAGAGACAAAGATGGAGAGTATTTTTTTATATTATAAAAAATATAAAATATGGTGGGACCCATGATATAATTTTTGTAATAATAATATATTAAAAAAATCAAATGTAGGACCTTCATGACAGAATAACAGAACAATTTAATGTCAGGGGTACCGATGAATAAATTTCTAATATTAAAAGATAAAAACGATACTTAGTTGAGTTAAAGTTATTTGTGATATTTCGTACATATTTCAAGGATAAAATTAACCTTAATCCTATATTTTTTTCTTAATTAATAAATTTAAATAAAAATAATATTAAAAAAATACTCATTAACATTCTATATAAAATGTCTAAAGAATACTTCCAGAACGCCTCGGGTAATTCAGGCCAAAAAAGAAAAACAAAAAAAGAAAGCTTCGGATAAGCAGGAAGTACTTCACTAAACAAAATTCACAACTAGGCTTACGAGGCCACGTGTCTGTCTCCATGGTCTGAAATATGAATGGTCATCTTGGAACGAGAAGGAGCTAGCATTGCCCACTCAGTCGCCCTACCCACAAAAGTAGAAGATAAAAACAGAAGTTTGAGCACTGCTTAGTTTCGGTTCACTCCCAAGAATAGCAGCCTCCATGGCCCTTGCTCAAGTCTCTGCTTCTTTCTCCGTCTCTATACGCGGTAACCCATTTCGATTTCTCCCTTGGCGGTAATTCTGGTCCCAAATATTCATATTTAACTATAATTCATCAATTATTCTGCAGATGTTTGTGCTTTCAGCTCACTCAAATCCTCTCCTTCTCGTCGTTTTCCCCGATCCAATTTCGTTCCCAGAGGAACTTCCTTTGCCTCTGGTTCCCCTCTGTGTAAGAATTATTGCTTTGCTACTTGTTAATTTGTTTCCCTCCCCTTGCATTTGGGAAAACTATGCCGTCTGTCATCTGAACAACTTTGGGTTTACCATTATTTCTTTTGAAGATTTTTTTCTGATTCAATCAAATGCGTCAGTTGTTTGAAATTGAAATGAAGTATCTTGAGGTAATTTACACTTTACATAATGTGCTGTAGTGCTGACCTTCAAATTGGAAGAATATTGCTTATGGATTTTGTCGCATAGGATTACCCTAGCCCCTAGGAAACAGCTTCCTTCCTTTCGCTAATTTGTAAAGTCTGATAAGTGGAATATAGAGAAAACCCTTTGTTGGAAAAGTGGTCATTCCAATCCACTTGAGACCCTGTATTCATAGGCAAATAGTAAAAGTGAAGTCATCAAACTTACTAATTATAGCCCTACTTACAACATGTTTTCAGCTAGTATTATAGTCTAATCAGCATTCTTCTAGCATTCAACTATAAATTAATTCCAACAGCGTTTATCTTCATTTTAGGGAAAAATGCTTTCAATCTTGTGATAACAAGTTTTTAGAAGAAACTGTGAGTTAGCTGGCCAGAAGTGATGGATGGAGATATTTAGGTGAAATTGTGAGTTAGCTGGCCATCTGAAACATAGATGTACTTTCAAATACGCTTTTCCCTTTTTGGTTGAGCGTGAGAAGGTGCTAAACAACGTAAATATAACATGCCAGCTATTTAGATAGTGAGCTAAATGGCACTGATATTTGGCTTTGCTTCTAGTGATTCGAAGAAGTTATGCAAGGCAGCCTGCTTGCAAAGCAATGCCTGTTTCAATAAGGTGTGAACAAAGTACCCAAGGAGGGAACAGTTTGGATGTGTGGTTAGGCCGGGCAGCTATGGTTGGCTTTGCAGTGGCCATTACTGTTGAAATTGCTACAGGGAAGGGACTCCTTGAGGTATGACTTATTATACTGCACTTAGCCGGTCACTTTCATTTGATAGCATGGCTAAGGTAATGTTTAATCACGGCAGAAATGAGCAGGGAAAAAAACAATGCATCATGCCCATGTCTATCTTATGAGGCTTGCATGACTTTAATTTACGCCATGAAAGGGATTCTTAGCAGCTGCCTACCTTTTATAACCTGATTATCGCTTCCAGAAAATGAAGACAATTTTTCCCAACAAAAATATGAAGACATATGCAGATTGACCTGTGTAATGATCTTGTTATCCCTTCAATGATTTTAAAAGTGAAGATAGCTGCAAGATGTGGCTATCCAATTCATCTTTTAACCTGAACAACCACTCTCAATGGAATATTTGGTCCTCAAGAATGAATAACTTGATTGGCATCCTCCGTCTTAGCTGTGGGACTACTTGTTATTTGCACCAGTAAATGAATCATAAGCCGCTGGCTATTGGCTCCCTTTCGTACTAGTATTAACTTTTTTGAACAGTTTGGCGACCAAATTCAAGTGCCTTGTGATATGTATACTATTTCACGTGCTATTTCTGGTGCATATAAACTAAAGGTAAGACCAAGTCAATTAGAACTAACCATATGATTTCTTTGTGGAGTTCTGATACCTTCTTACCCCTTTGCCTCTCCCACCCATTCAAGTGAATTCAACTATGCAAGTGATGCAGCGAATGATTATTAGTTGAATCTATGGCTCCAAAAGAATACTTATATTCTTGTATCTTTAATTACGCAGAACTTTGGGCTCACCGCTCCGCTGCCTACAGTTGCCTTGGGAGTGACAGCCTTGGTTGGTGTTCTGACTGCAATTTTCATCTTCCAATCAGCCTCAAAGAACTAGTCACTTTTGTTTAGAGTTCTCATAGCCATTGCATGTAAATTCCGTAAGTCGGGGTTTTTTAGGATGAAATTTTACCCTTGTTCGTTGTCTAATTGCTTTGTGGCAAAGAAAGGGATTGGAAGTTTCGAATCATAACAAGGCTTCTGTATTTATTTGCTTCTTTTCATCCAATCCAGGCTGTAGTTTATAATCTCCCCCCCCCCCCTTGTTTTTTAAACTTTTTACTGTTTAATCTTCCATTGTGTATCAGTTTAATGAAATGTCAAGGCTCAAGGGGTTTTCTTCTTCTTCTTCTTTTTTGAATCAGACGATGCAGTATTATGTATTTTAAAATAAGAATGCCCGAAGAAAAAATTGCATATAAAAATTTTCTTTTTGAAAAAAATTGTATAAAGTATTTTAAAATTACAATGCTGAACAAACTAGAAATGAAGTGTTTTTGTTCCCCACTGCCCCCCCCCCTCATAACATTAAAACTAATTATATCCTAGTGATTGGATGGGGGGGAACGGAAGAGAGAAGAGATTCTAAGGAATCCAAGTAATCATTTTTAAAAACTAGAGTAATTTGTTAGAATCTCTCCTTCCCTCCTTTTCACTTTCTTCCAAACAAACATTGCCTTTTTTTTTTTGAAATAAAAGTGTATTTTTACATTTGAATCAAGCGGATGAATCTAGAAAAGCTGAATTGGAGATAATACAAATACCCGAATAATTGAAGCATAATATTTTCTTGGAGGATCAACTTTGGGAGGAGTATGGATTAAGGAAACTGCAAGCGCCTGCAGGCTTTTCTGAAGTTGAACTTCAAATTAGACATGACGTGTTTGATAAATGATAAGTACTCCAGATTTGAACTTACAAAAGCGTAGCCTTCTTTAGAATATGATGTTCCGTTGCTTAATGCGAACAGTTTTGAAGATTGCACGTTGAAGATAAATTCTCACTTTATTCCTAACTTGCATTGGGAATCGTGTGCCCCTGGTTCTTTCTTGTTCCTTCCTAGCCATGCTCGCTTTCTCTTCTCCGCATCTTCTCCTACATGTATAAAGGAGTAATCTTTCACCTCAGAATTTTCTTCCTCTCATGGGTACGATCATATCTCGACTTGGAAAGAGGTTCTTCCTGCACAAGTGTGAATTGAAGATTCTGATACTGGGTCTTGATTTTTCTGGCAAGACCACCATTCTCTACAAGCTCAAACTGGGGCAAACCCTCAGATCCATACCCACCATCGGTATGTATGTTCTCCTTGTCTTATAAAGATTGAAATTAATAACGGACAAATCTGTTACTATTAAGCAAATTTCATCATTAATTTTAAATTTAGTGACCGGTGATCCGTCACTAATTTTCATTACGAATATGTTGTCACTAATTTAGTTACCAAAAATAATTTGCTACTAATTTAATAATAGAAAATATTTGTCACTAATTAATAAAGTTTTGTCACTGGTTGAGTTGGAATGACCTTTCATTCTTAATATAATAAATTTAATATATATTACTTAATTTAACACATATATTTAACTTAAATTTATTTTTTATATATTTAATATATTATTATTTAAATATGTTGATAATATATATTATCATATACACATTAACACATAAATATATAATTCAATATTTATTATTAGTTAATAAATATATTATTTAATACTAAATAATATATATTATGAAAATAAATATTTGTATGTATCGTTTTATATTATCTATGTTATAATTAAAAAAAATTTCACATGGTAAAAATTTTATTTTATATTTAAATTTACATAATAAAAGAAAAATATTTCTTATTTTTATATCATTTTATATTATATATTTTACTTATAATAAGAAAAAAATTTCGTGTAATTATTTAATTTGATAAGTTTAAAGATTTTTTATGTGAACCTCTCTATATATATTATAAATTATTTATTTTTATAAAATATTTGACCTCATTTTTCTAATTTTTTTACTAATATAAGAATTTAGTGGCAGAAATTAGTAATGAATTTAAATCGGTCATTAAATTTATAAAATTTGATTAAAATGTGATGATATCCTATTTCCATTACTAATTTATGTAATTAGTGATAGATTTCAGTCCGTCACAAAATTTCTATCACTAATATTTATAATTAATGATGGATTAGAGATTCGTCATTAAATATCTTTTATTAATTTTAATTTTTCTAGTAGTAGTGAGGTGACTAAGCCAAGCCAAGTCAATAAATCCCGCAAAAAGGAATACAAGTTTTCTCAACATTTACATGCAATGCCACTTGTATAGCATTCATCAGAAATGATAGTCCTTTGCTGATATATGGACCAGGTTTTAACGTAGAGTGTGTGGAGTACAAAAACTTTCGCATTACTGTCTGGGATGTTGGAGGACAGAACAAGGTACTAGAATATAATTTTAAAGTTGACCACTTTGATTAGGTCAGGTCTCGTGAATCGTATGACATGAATATTGACAGAGGAACAAACTAAATGTACACAGGAATAATGCCTTGTAGGTTAATTTCGATTTATTTAAGATGATGATCGATGACTTAGTTACGTTAACAGATTCGACCTTTATGGAGACATTACTTGCACAATACACATGGACTGGTCTTTGTGGTGGACAGCCATGACAAACGAAGAATCTCGGAAGCTCGCTGTGAACTGCATAATATTCTTAGTGATGTGAGTCTACTTGCCAAGGTTTAAGATTAAGAATACCGTGTAATCTGTCTTTTGTGTGTGTGTCGTTGGATTTGACTCGTGTATTGTTGTATTCTGTTGAAGTTTGAACTCCGCAATGCCACACTTCTTGTGTTGGCCAGCAAGCAAGACGTTGAAGGTGCCATGACTGTTAATGAGGTCGCTGATAAACTCGGCCTGCACTGTCTTCGACGTCGTACTTGGTATGGCTTAGGCTTACTTAGCCACTTATTATCTCCCTTCCAATTGCCAACTATTTGATCAAAACATTATTTTCACTCTTTTATCTCAATTTAGTTAGTACCAGCAAAATTGAATGGTTGGACGGTGCAGGTACATTCAGAGTGCTTCAGGAATCTCTGGGCAAGGCCTCTATCAAGGTCTTCATTGGCTCTTCAACAATGTACAATTCTGCTGTGGGCCATGACCCCACACTAATTATCACAAATGTTCTGTTATGTTTTTTCCCTTTATACGACAAGCCTTCGATATATGGATTTCACTTCTAGCGTGAATTATAATTTTTCTTTAAAATCATGTAATTATGAAAGGGTGTGACTACTTGGAACTCGTCATGCTTTCTAATCTTTTTGTGAACAAAAAGCCAATCCCTTTCAGCCGAAGAGGCGAAAAAGGGATTAAATGCAAAATCCATCAAACTTGCATCTGACAGCTCTTGGTGGCTCTTAACCATACTTTTTTTTTTTTGAGGCATTTTTAATAACTTGTACAATCCATCTATTGGCTTTAAAAAAAAAAAATGAAAAAACAGAGACCCTACACCACATAATATAGTTGGGAGAGGATGGATGGCTGATATATGAACAAGATATTATGAAGGATTAGACTGAAGTTGTTGTCAAGGACAACAGCACAGCTTCAATTTATATATATATATATATATATATTCCTTTTTTTCCCCCTTCTTTTTTTGATGGGATCCTTAATGACACATTGTGTGCCTAATTTCACAAATAATCAGAGACATATTTGGGTAAAAGGACAAGAGCATGTGCTTGTGCTTGTGATATGGTAAGATTTTATCTCTGTCGGTTCTGATATTAATCCTAATAATTTCTTCTTAATTAACCAAGGCATTCAATCATGATTTTTTCCATTTTTGTCTTCCTTAAGTGGGTGTTTTAATGGACTAATTTTAAATAAACTAAATCTTCAGTGATTGAAGGAAATGATGAAGAAAATTAGAGATAGGAGACATTGATTCACGCAAATAAGATTCCATATATATATTTTTATCCCCTTTTTTAAATTGTGTTCTCTAATTAAAAACGATTCGGATTCAATTTGAAAACTCGTGAATTTGAATTATATAATTCTTGCTTCCCAAAGAGGATGCATATACAACATTTACATGTATAAAATACAGAGCGTGAGGTAATCATTCATTTACCTACTTTAGATTCTAGTGGTTGGATTAGCAAGTGTTATTATTTACATGAATTAAATTAGCAGGAATTGGGATTGGGAATCTAGTTAGTTAGAGTACCAACTTTTTGAAAATTACAGGATATTGTTACCAACTTAATCATTAACTAACTACAGCTTTAACAAACCAAATTTATAATAACATTTTTAAGAAAAAAGATAGATTATATTCAAAGAGTTGTTAAAATCAAAATAAGTATATTCACAATTCAAAATGCATTCCTAAAACACTACAAGCTACAGTAACTGCGTGTACTCTTTATTAACAAAATATCCATATCCACAATAGAGTTTAAATTGGGAGAATTGATCCATATGTCTATCTAATTTTTTTTTCAATTATAAATTAGGTCCCTATAATTTATTTTGTTTTCATCAAGTCTTTATAATTTGGTTAATTAAATGTATTACTCTCTAAAAATTACAATTATTAATGAATATTGACTTTTTTTAAAAAATTGATATAATACAATGCTTACATTTTTATTATGGTCTAATGAAAATTTTATATATAAAAATTATTTAAAACACATAACCTAATTATATGAATTTTGAATTATAAAAATTCTGAAATTAATTGTAAAATTATATAATAATTTAATAAATATAAAGAAGTCATTAACTTCATTTTTTAAAAGAGAAAATTAAAAAAAATTTAATAATCAGGGATTGACATATTTAATTGATTAAACTGATTAAAACAAAATAAACAATAAAAACGTAATAGAAAATTATGTAAAACAATCAGAACTTGCAAAATAATTTCCCGTAAACCAAATTGGGAGCACCAATCCTCTTTTGTTGGCTCAGTTTTAAGTTCCTCAAATGACTTTATTGGAGTAAATTGGGTTACAAGCAAAAGATTCACAACATTATTGACTGAAAACTAATGAATAAAGATATGATGGAAAAAAAATTAAAAATTCAAAAAAGAAGGGTAATTCTAAAAATAAAATTATATTCCCTCAATTTAAAAATATAACATATTTTTTGAGTAATTGAATATTAAAAAATATAAAATATTTTTAATCTTTTAAAATATAATAATTGTCTTTTTTTAAAAGTATTAAATGATTTTATATTTATTATAGAATATTTAATAAAGTTAAATATAAAAAGATAAGATTAATTTAAAAATAAATAATTATTTTATTAAAATATAAAATTTAATTAAAAATATTTTATATTTTTTTATCAAAGTGACTAATTTTTTCAGTGATTCAAATACTAAGCCTCTCCATCCAAGTTCAGGAACAATAAACCCAATCAAGCTCGTCCATCCTGCTGCCACAGGAAATCTACAGTTTTGTGCTCGTACGTTAATTTTCTGCAGCTTCTAGTGCTGCATCTCTAGCCCAGCCAAAACCAACCTATCATCTGCAACCATTTGGTCAACCCACTGTCTCCAAAAAATCCTCTTTCTTTCCTTCTTTCATTCATTACACTCTTTCTTCTCTGCTTTAGAACTCCCACTTCCCTCCTCCTTTTCTTTCCGTTTCTTCCTCTCACACCATTCTGTTTTCCTGAAATCCTCGTGAGATCTGGGAATGGGAACATGTTCTTCATTTCTGCAACACCTCTTCCTTTTTCTGATTCTCCTTGCACACCTTTCTCTGTTTCAAGCACGCACTCTATCTTCAGACCTCCAAGCCCTCAAAGCCTTCAAAGCCTCTGTTACTCCGTCTTCTATCCCTCCTTCTTCCTGCTTAGCTTCCTGGAACTTCACCGATGATCCTTGCTCTCTCCCTCGCCGTAGCTCCTTCGTCTGTGGCCTGTCTTGCTCCCCTGACTCCACTCGCGTCACTCAAATCACCCTCGACCCGGCCGGCTACTCCGGTTCGCTCACCTCACTCGTCTCCCAGCTCACCCGGCTCATCACCTTGGACCTCTCCGACAACTCCTTCTCCGGCCGAATCCCACCCTCTCTCTCCTCCCTCTCCAACCTCCAATCCTTAACTCTCCGATCCAATTCCTTCTCTGGCTCTATCCCTCCTTCCATAATTAACCTTCAATCGCTCCAGAGTCTCGACCTCTCCCACAACTCCCTGTCCGGGTCTCTCCCGAGTTCCATGATTTCGCTTGCTGGCTTGAGAAGTATGGACGTGAGTTTCAACAAGCTAACCGGGCCTCTCCCGAAGTTGCTTCCGCCGACCCTGATCGAACTCGCGCTGAAGGGGAATCTGTTATCCGGGTCTCTCAGTAAATTTACGTTCGAGAAGCTAAACCAATTGGAGGTGGTTGAGCTCAGCGAGAACATGCTCGCCGGCAAAATTGAGGCTTGGTTCTTTCAATTACCTTCGCTTCAGCAAGTTGATATGGCGAACAATAGCTTTACCGGAGTCGAGATCTCGAGACCCGTCGGAGGTAACAGCAACCTCGTGGCGGTTAATTTGGGGTTTAACAAGATCCAAGGTTTCGCGCCCGCCAATTTCGCCGCGTATCCTGTGCTGTCGTTTTTGTCACTCCGGTACAACTCGCTACGTGGCACGATCCCATTGGAGTACAGCCAGAGCAAGTCCATGAGAAGGCTGTTCCTGGACGGGAACTTCCTGATGGGGAAGCCGCCGGCCGGCTTTTTCTCCGGTAACGGTGGGGCATCACTTTCCGGCAGCTTGGGTGATAATTGTCTGCAGAGCTGCCCGGCAAGTTCACAGCTGTGCACGCCTGCCCAGAAACCTAGCTCTGTTTGCAAGAAAGTTTACCGAGGAAGACCGTGATCTCGATTCATGGTGTCTCCTGGCGTTGATTAAAAATAATAACGAAAAGATTACCACTTCTGTATTTTTTCTTAATTATTAATAGGATTAAGGGGTGTTTTACGTGAATAATAAGAGACCTTTGAAAATTACGATAATGAGTGTCTAGTGCATGTTTTTGAATTAATATTTAATAATAAAAGATGTCAGACTTACAGTTTTGTACTTTTGTCATGGGCATCGGCTGGTACTGCCGCGGGATATTTTATTTAGTTTTATGATATAAAAACTTCATCTAAAGTCCTATAATTTTGGAATTATCGAATATTATTTAATTAATTAATAAAATAATGTGCGATTTCTGAATTCTGATGCTTCTATTTTATTTTTCTCTTTTACGGAAAGAATAACACCTTTGTAGTTTGTATGAAACTGAAGAACAAATATAAACACAAACCACCGAGATCCTAAACAAAGCCAAGGCCGAGAAGATGTGGGAGATGTCGGATCAGAGGATCCTCTCCAACAAAACACTACCTCAACCGTTAGCCAAAAAAATAGAAAATAAAAACACTTGCAGCCAAATAAGTAAAATATAATCAAATTCAATTCCATGAACACTAATGGAATTGGGTGTAGTTACAATGTGACGTATTCAAATTTAAATTCTTGTCAAGAGAAAGTCCGACTGTATTTCGAATATGTTTACTTTTAATAAAATAATATTTATAAATAATAAAAACAATCCATGCTATGAATGTAAAATATTGGTTTCTACCATACACACAGATTGTGTAAGTAACAGGTAAAGTTTGGCCCAAAAAAACGTAGTATGGGAGAAGCATGGGAGAAGCACATTTTGAGGGTTCCGGTGCCGCTTGTCGGCAACTCCCCACTGACCATTGTCTCATGGGAAGGTCATTATCTTAATCATGTTAAAGCCAGAAAGCAAAGAAATAACGCAGTTACCCTTTTCTGTTGCATGTCATTATTCATTCATTATGACTGGACGATCTTCATCTCTTTAATTTATATAAACTAGAAAACAGTGACTCTTCTTCTTCTGGTCTGAATTAAGGATTGGAAACTTCTCTTAACTTCTGCTTAAATGATTCATTATCTATGATTCTATGATGACATTAAGTTGCCTTTTCTCTGTGATTTATTTAAGCGTAATCAGTTTCTAAGGATCCTTTGTCCTGTTGGACGCTAACTCCAAGCTCCTCTATTCGTTGCCTGCTTCACCCCTAAAATGGTGTCATTTCACATGAAGCTGGACTCTCTCTTTTTTTTTTTTTCCTTTCCTTTTTAACTGAAAATTCAAAAATAATACCCTCTCTTATTCATAATATAAGGTATTTTTTTTAAAAGTCTTATTTGATCTAAAATATAGTTATTATTTTTTTAGCTACTACCCCTATCCCAAATTATAAAACAATTTTGGAGCTAATTTGGTGTTTCAAAATAGAAGACAAATGAACAAAAATAAGGTTTTGTTAAATATATTTTTTTAATGCTATTCAAGACTAGATTGGAAAAGGTGATCTTATTTCTTTTTATCTTTTTATCATTTGCATTGAAAATTTGGCACATTTAATTCAAGATGAGATTGGAAAAGAAAACTAGAGACCCATCAGGCTCAATAAAAAACCTCTTTCACATTTGTTCTTTGCTGATGATCATATTATCCTTGCAGAAGCAATGTTTGACCAAGTTGAGGTCATTAATAAATGCTAAGAGAAATTCTGTGTGGCATCAGAGTAAAAAGTTAGCAACAATTGTTCCTATGCATCATTTTTCACTTCGAGAATGCAACAATTGAGCGGGCTGTTGGGTGTTTTTTTCACTTCAGATTTGAGAAAATACCTTGGTGTTCCTATGCATCATAGGTGTGTGACTAGGAACACTTACAATTATGTGGTTAATAGGGTGAAGTCACGGCTAAGTGGATGGAAGGCAAATAATATTTCCTTTATAGGTAGAAGCACCTTAGTTTCCTCCATCTTGTTAGCTATTCCTATATCCTATGCAAACTGCTTTATTCCTTGTGTTTATTCGTGAGGAAGTGGAAAAGAAGTCTTGGGATTTCTTATGTGATTCAACGACTAAAACGAAGAAGATTCATGCTATTTCTTAGGATAAGGTTTATAGGGATAAGAAGAGAGGGGGCCTTGGTATTTGTAATACTCTCACTCCACTAAACACATTTAATAAATAAAACTCATGGTAATCAAAGGATCAACTCTGAAGAGTGATTACCAAAGTTTAATTCAAAAGGAAAGGATCTAAGTTTTTTAAATGGAAACGAGTTAAAAAAATTAATCAAAACCTTTTCATATCAGAATAAAAATAAGTTTTAAAAGCATGGGATACCTCAGAAAAGTGAAAGAGGTCAAAAACAGTTGAAAACAAATTATGCACTAAAATACAGAGCAATGCACCGCAATGGATGTACTTTGTGCCGTGGTGTGTTGCACAAAATTTCACTGGTTCTGCTGTCATTTGACAGTAGAATCAGGGGAACTTTTGACTCACCTCAATTCTCTGTCCAACGTCCGAATGATGTGATCTGGGTATGTACAGAAAGCTCTTTTCTTGTACTAACTAATGGCATGGGTTTTACTTCCAAAACAAATCACACTAGAAAGTTGAACACTCAAACACATTTTAACCACTTTTCAACACTTTTATACAAAATGGGTGTCTAAAACTCTCAACAAATGCTAAAAGCTTTTTTTAACACGTGGACCATATCCAATGAACCTAGGACTACCAATACAACACATCACAAATATCAAAATAACATTATAACTAAAATTTACTTCTCAACTCCAATTTATCAAAAACAAAAGGGGAGGTAAATTAACATTGCATTTAACTCAAATAATTCAAAACATGCTCAAAACTTTATTTTTATATTTGTACTAATATTTTGGCCCTATAAACATATATATATGACAAAATACATAAAGACTAAGGGCCCAAAATATAATTCTAACATTTTTAATAACCAAAATAATGCAAGTGAGGTAATATGCATCTTAGAATTGGCAAGCCATATACTATTACACAATTAAAGCTAAACTAGAGGCATACAGTAGGAATATGCTAATTCCCTGCCTTTTTAGTCTTCTCCCTCTCAACACCAAAGCTAGAGCCTGAAAAGTATTAAATAAGATGGGTGAATTTAGCCACTCAGTAACTAAGATTAACTCTATCCTATACAGTTATATATCAATTATAAAACAAATACATGCACAAGGAGATCAAATTTATAAAACATGTCCTCATATATCACATTTTATCATTTATCACTCTATAGCTTTTTTACTCACATAACTAGGTGCATTGTCTCCATATTCTCAGATGTGTGACAAGACCCATACTCTTGCGACTTGCTGCCACTTAGCATGTGTGACATGTCATATATTTACTTAGACAATGATCAACCAACCTTATATCATCCTTATTTTCTCATACTGAAACCGTGGGCTATAACATTGATTAGAGCTCTGTCCGTGTGACTGAACTACCTAAACTCACTAATTGTGAGATATAACCCAGTCAAAGATCACAAGACTTACTCTCGGACCATGACTTTTGCCATTCTCAAATCCCTGAGTTGTCTCATACCCTAGGCTATTCTCCTCATTGAACCGGTGGAGATAGCTAAGTTTTAGTCCCTTGACAAATTATAGAATAGTCCCTCGACAAACAGTAAGACAAGGCTATAGCCCCCGTGCACCAGAGGGTAGCCTAATTATTATATAAATTTTCTCTACTCCTAAATCCCCAGGCGAACTCCCGCTATTGATCATGCCATAATCATTACTTAATTGAGTTTACTTTTTTGCTTTCATTTACTCACTATTATCATAACCACGTTGGGTTCACAACCTTGTGCTACCAAGTGCGTATTCTCACCCTTTTCTCAAAAATTCATTTTTCATTAACAATCAACTACCTCTATACCTCATCACATACGTCTTTCAACAACAATAATAATATTCATAGTTAAAACTCTCTTGACTTTGCATATTGTACTTTCAAGTCAAAAATACCATTTTCATACACTCAATGAAATATATATATGTATAGTTTTACATAAAAATCAATCATATGCATCTAACATTCACCATTTACACTCAATAATTAATTAATATACAACTATTCAAAGTAAATTTTTTTCCTGGTTACCTCAAACCTTTGAGAGGTCAAAGGTTTATCCTTCAATCAATTAGCTTTCAAGCTTGAATTTCCACTCCAATAGGTGACCAAGAGCCAAAATTATAATCAACCAATTTGAATTCTATCAACATAACAAACTTAAACATTTAAACCTTCAATTTCTACTTCTAAATTTCCCAACCTCCGCTTTACAAGGGGTGGAGCCTAACCATTAGGTTTAATAGTTACCTTTAGGCCTTAATAACATTAATGAGCCATTAAATTCCCATTAATGGCATCACAAACTTCCAACCACCTATAATAAATGAGATTTTTGGACATTAATGGTGTCCAACAATCAAAGACACCAAAACTCATCATATTTAGGTTTAAATACTTTAATCTATCCCCATTAACTCCATTTGAGTCAACAAATTCAGGCTCATAACCTATATGGACTGAAATCTCACTTTCACTATTAAATACTAATCATAAACTCATAAATGTGGAAGAAAAAGGGAGATTAATGAGTATGATACTTACATTGGGTGTTTGTAGCCTTCAAAATACTCTCAAAATGGTCTCCAAGTAAACCTTAGCAGAGCTTTGACATGCCTCTCCTTTCTTTCTTTTCTTTCCTTTTCTATCTCATTTCACATTTGATAAAGTGCAAAAAATGGCCATACACCACAGCGAACGCACAATGCGTTACGGCGCATGGCACAGAGAGGTCCTCTCTCGCTTAAAGATGGCTGTGCGCCGTGGCGAACAATCTACATGCCGCAACATGTGGCATAACAACTTCAACTCTTTCTTTTCTTCTCCTTTTGATGCCCGGGTGGTCTACCTTTATGTCAGACCCACAACTAAGACTGAAATAGCATCAAACATGATTTTTTTAGTCATTTCTTGCCACACACCACTTCAATTTACTTAATTACTCTAATTAGGTTTAATTAATCAGGGAATTAGAACTCGGGATGTTAAAGTATCCATAAGATGCATACTCAAAATCAAGCTTCTTAATAAAAGAAAGTCAAGGGTTTATCCATAATAGAG